ATTAAAGACAGATGTAACCAGAGATCCAATCCAATTCTGCGGTCATCCCCGCACATCACGCTCAAGATTAAGCACGCCCCGCCTTCTCTACAGTTTGACCTCAATCCTATTGGTCTATTCTTTGATCGACGGTGCTCTTGTCCAATAGGAATCGAGAACGGGGAGTTCGAGGGTAACCTCTGCGCAGATGTGTTTGAAGGAGACAACGCAGCTTTTAGTGTGAGGGAATAGCTTTTGCGAGGGAGTCACATACTGCCGAGGCACCACAACTCGAAAGGTGAGCACTTTATTACGATACATTCAACTTAATTAAATGTTTAATTCCGTGTACATGTTGTTTAATTAATGTCAATAAAGTTAACTCAGGAAACATCAGTGACATTAGTGGTTGTGTCTTAATCAGCTGCTAACTTTTAAATGCTAACGTTAATTCATTTTGCTATCTGAATTGCATGATATCTAATGTATTACAGGCAAACATTTGTCCCTAATCGTCATTTTTGTTGTTGTTCAGGCTTTTTGTCTATTTAATCTTTTAGTTAACTGTTTTATCCATAAAAAGGTTAAAAGAGTATATTTCACGACATATTTCAGTAATAAACAGGCAGGAATGTGTCTATAATCGTTCCTTTTTATTTATAATCTCCTTAGTCCTTTGTTTTACCACTAAATACCCCTGATAAAGTATATTTCACGAAATATTTCAATATGTTACAGGCATAGCTCAGTCTTTAACGTCCTGCCAGTTTTATGCACAGTCTTTAGATTTCCTCTCCATAGTTAAGTCACGTGCTTTAATCCAAATACAGGCCTGACAAAGTACATTTCACAATATATTGTAGTTATCTAAAGGCAGATATCAGTCACTTCATCCTTTTTGTTTGTGTACAGGCTCTTCTAATTCTAATCTTCTTAGTCAATTGTCTCACCCATAAATAGGCGTTGAAATATATCTGTCGCAATATATCTCAATATTTTACAGGCAGATATAAGTCGCTGTCTTCCTCGTTGTTTTTGTAAAGGCGCTTTTAATTCCTAGCAATATTGTTAATCAGATTCCATATTAAAAAAAGGCTTGATAAAGCATTTTCACCATATATTTGTCGTTTTATACACCAGATATAAGTCACAACCATCCTTGTTTCATGTTAGCTGCCCTTTTAATCACTCTCAATCTTCTTATGTAGACATTTAACACAACAAAAGCTTGACACATGTTCATGATATTTCAGTTATAAACAGGCATATACCACTATGTCACTATGGTCATTCTTGTAAGTGTGCAGATCCCTCGAAACTTGCATACTCATTTGTTCTATACTCCAAAACGTGCTCGATGGGTTATTTCCTGATGCCAATATGTAGATCTAAATATATCTGCTCTCACTTCTTGTCACTCTTGTTAGCTTGTCCCTACTTGCAAGCTTTCTCAGACTCAAATAAAACTTGCTATGCATAACATTTGACCCACCGTCTTGGGAAGGCAAAGATACTGCCGAGTAAAGTGACTGTCATGTCCTGCCAGTATGGTTAGAGGTCATTCATTGGGCTCAGCTTTGCATAACTCACCCTCGTGTCAAGGTGCTTTTTTTTCTTCTCACACCACCTTCCTTGTTAATCTGCAATCTCTCATCAGTTTACACTTAGATGCATGCCTGGAAATAATACGCCTAAATAT